GATGCAATCACATTGCTATTGTGAGAAGCTTATATCTGTGGTGCTTTCCCAATGTCCACGTGGGGAGTTGACGCATAAGTCTTTAGTCTTCGAATGATTGACTGAATCTCCAAGTGTTTCATCATCAAGAAGAAGACGTTTTCGTCCCAAGAGACAAGCGCCCAAGAATCATCGAATTGAAGTGACGATCAACATGGCCAGCAAGGGTAAAAGAAAAATCTCAACTGATGATTCAGAGTCTTCTGATTTTGAAAGATCTCCTGGATTACGAGAGGCACTTATTAAAGGCCAGGGTGTTTATCAACATACCCGTTCTCGCACTGGAGAGATGATCCCATTAGACTACCGCAAACTAGCGGGTTTATCTGATGGTGCTGAACCTAAAAATTCAGCTATTGCTACTTCTCAGCCCTCCAACATCGATCAAAGTGAGCAAGCAAGTGCTCACATGACAGGAAAAGAGGAAGAACTCTTGAGGAAGCTGGAAGAGCAACAATCTACCATCCTAAAGCAACAGGAGTCCATCAGATGCTTGGAAGCAATGGTGGAGAGACTCCATGAGGAGAAGGAAAAGAAGAAGAAGAAGACTCATTCCCAAGTCTCACGGTCTAGGCGTAGAAGACCTTCACCTGTTGATTAAGATCACTACGATGAAGACGATGAACAAAAGGTTGTGAAAATTCATTCTGAATCGTCTGAAGCTGAATCTAATCCTCGTACGAAAGAACGAGATCAGAAGTGGGAAGATTTTCAGAAGCAACTTGACGCACTGAAGCTTTAAGGGAATTTCAAAGAGTTGGGGGTGTCAAGACCCTATCCAAGTGAATGGGATGCAATACCGTATCCTCCGAAATTCAAGCCACTCAACTTGATGCAATTTGATGGCAAGGGTTCTCCAACCCAACACATCTATTATTTCCAAGTGCAGACTGGACACATAGTGGGGAATGATCCCATTATGACTCGACTATTCATTAGTACCCTTAAAGGGGTGGCTTTTGAATGGTTTCGTAGACTCGAACCTAGGTCAATCCAGAGTTGGAGAGATTTAGAGAGGCTTTTCTTAGCCTGATTCTTTGACGATGACACTGAAGTGTCTATGGCAACATTACTGTCTGAGAAACAAAAGAAAACGGAGTCAGTCAGTGATTTCGTCAAGAGGTTCAGAAATCGATCGTTGCATTCACGCGATCAAGTTTCGGAGGCTACTCTCGTGGAAATATGTCGTAACAATCTTTCCATCAATATCTTATCCAAGATGGGCGCTGTTGAAGCCCGTTCATGGAAGGATTTGGTTTGGTAGGGAGAGCAAGTAGAAAACATGCTCAAGAGGAAAAGTGCTGAAGAACCTCAAGAATCACAGACTAAAGTGGGAGGTGGTAAAGGCAACTATAATTCCCAGAAACAATCGAAAGGGAAAGACACCTTAGCTATTGAGACAGCTCCATCTCCGAAATCCTCTACTAAACAGAAAGGGAATACATCCGACAATCATTTTCAGAAGAAATACAATTTCAAGGATGAACATATGGTTTCTATTCTTACATCTTTAATCAAGATGAATAAGATTAAGCTGCCAGAGGTAAAGCGGAATGCAGAAGTATCAAGGACTAATGGTCCTAACTTTTGCATGTACCACAGGATGGTGCATCATCCGACTAAAGCTTGTTACATCTTGAAAGACAAGATTCAAGCGTTATTAGACGAAGGAGTGATGACTCTTCAAGCTGAACAAAAGAAGGTGTCTGCAAATATGGTGTCACTTCAATTTGGGGATTTCGCCGAAGTACAAATACAAGATGGTGTACAACCAATTCCTCAAGCGAAGGCGAGGGTAGTGAATTTTGACCCGTATCGGAAGAAAGAGAAGGGGATGGTCCCTTACACTACCCCTAAAGGCGAACTGATGTGGGTTCATCCTGATTTGTTAATGGATGAATAGTGGACATCGGCAAATTCAAAGAAGCCTAAAGCCACACGAAGATCTTGCAACGCCGTTTCAGCATTTTCAGATGAGGGGGTTGAAACTACATCACTTAGTAGTTCTGAGGATGAACAGCCAGCTTTCACTGCACAGCCTGCACAAGTATCAGGAACCCGCAGAGGAAAAGAGTATTTGAAGAAATATTCTGAAACAGCAGCTGCACCACCCAGACCAGGGAAAGAAGTAGCGGAGCAACCTTAACCTAAGGAACTTTGTTACAACAAAGCACTCAGAAAAGATGCACCAGAGAGTTTGAAAGATCCTTTTCGGTTTGATGTATTGGCTCAGCTAACCAACATCCCAGCAAGGATTACTTTGTTTGAGCTTTTACATTTATCCCGATCAACGAGAGAAGCTCTCCGTGAAGCATTAGCAGATAATGAGGCTTTCCTTACTCATTTTCCACCAAATCCAGCTGGAACAACGCTGGAAGAAGCTAGCCCTCAATGTTGTCAAGTTTTTCGAAGAAGAATGCCATGCATCACCTTTTCTCAAGAAGACATGCATGTGAGGAACTCAAAACACGATAGACCATTGTACTTCACAGGGTACATCGGCTCTATTCGGGTAGATAGAATTCTGGTTGATCCTGGTTCTGCTTTGAGCATCATCCTGTTGTGGCTCATTCATCACCTTAGAATTCCTCTGCATCATTTATCAACGACGAGAACCACCATATAAGGCTTCAATGCCTCTAATACTCGTCCCCTTGGTAAGATCAAACTCAAATGCCAGATGGGTGACTTGAGGACGGACGTTACCTGCTACGTCATCGACACAGAGACATCTTACAACTTGTTACTAGGTCGACCATGGATCCATAACAATTTGATTGTTCCATCCACTCTACACCAATGCATGAAATATGTAAATGAGAGTGGTGAAGTGAAAACAGTGGTCGTAGAGAAGCAACCATTCAAGGGGGTGGAGAATTATTTTACTGATTCTATCCATTACCTTGATGATGAGCCATTTGAAGTCCCACTGATCGAAGAACCAGATAGCGGTAATGAAGCCGATATCGAGTCTGAACACGAACAGGGTCTTGTTTTTAATGACATAGAACCCGTCGTAATCGGCCTTGAAAATCTGGATGTAAATGATCCTGTCTATGAGGACAGTGAAGTTATCTTTAATAATAATGATTTAGCTTATTTCTCGCATGTGGAATTGAATACTAACATGCCAGGTACAAACACTGATGTGATAGCGGATCCGCTATCCAAGTTATATGCTGAATCAAACTTATACATGCCGATTTAATCATCTTTTGTAACGAATCAACGACAAACCGAATCTTTATAAATAGTCTTCATAGTACCGGCTAAGGTTAACGGTCAAAAAGACATCATCTTTGGAAGGAGTGACGGTCCGGTGCAGACCATTTTGGAAGAATCCGAGAAAGAGGAAAGAGATCCGCAATTCTCATACTTTGATCCAACAACCCGAAGGCTTATGAAGAATATGGGTTATGATTTCATTCATAAACAAGGTTTAAATTTTGGCAGAGGGATCCGGACACCAATACGATCCGCATATGTCCCGGAAATAAAGCCATAAGATTATTATCACAAAACTCGTAGTGGATTGGGTTATGAATCTCCACCGTTTATGCTGCGTTTCGGGACTAAAAGAGAGTCAGATGATGATTCTTTCACCTCGTCTTCCGAATCCAATTTTTGGGAGTCTGATACCAGTACAGGAGCTGAATTCAAAGTACTCATGGCTAACATGACCTCAACATCTTTGATAGAGAATCAGGAAGATGATCAATTACTTTTGTTTGACGATCCATTGAGTCGACAGCTCGGTATACAGTGGGAACACAGTTTTGAACAACGCAAACCCCCTACTGATGACAAGGTGATTCAGGTGAACATGGGAGATGAGATTAATCCAAAACCCATATTCATAAGTGATAGTTTATCGCCAGAGGAGAAAGAAGACCTCATTACCCTAATTCGAGAATATATTGATGTCTTCGCTTGGAATTACAAGGATATGCCTGGGCTTGATCCCCAAGTGGCTATGCATCGACTAAATATCAAACCAGACATCAAGCCTGTTAAACAACAGCAAAGGCGATTTTGGCCCCAAATCATGGAAGCAATTGAAGCTGAAGTCGAAAAGCTCATCGAATCAGGATTTATCCGCGAAGAGCAACATTCTGATTGGGTGGCCAACATTGTCCCTATTCTAAAAAAGAACGGGAAGATTCGAGTGTGCATCGACTTCCGTGACTTGAATTCGGCTTGTCCTAAAGATGATTTTCCATTACCTATCACTGACGTCATTATTGACAATATGTGTAGGTTCGAGAGGATGTCCTTTATGGATGGATTCTCAGGGTATAACCAAATCAAAATGTATCCTGATAACGAAAAGCATACATCCTTTCGAACACCTTCAAGGATATACTGTTATACAGTAATGCCCTTTGGGTTGAAAAATGCGGGCGCTACCTATCAACGTGCTATGACCTCTATTTTCCAAAAGCTTCTACGAAAAACTGTGGAATATTACATTGATGATTTGGTCATCAAAAGTCGTGATAAGGGAAACCATTTACTCGACTTGAAAACAATGTTCGATCTTATGCGGACGCACCAGCTCAAGATGAATCCAACTAAGTCATTCTTAGGAATAGCTAGTGGTAAATTTCTCGGGTTCATGGTCATGGCTAACGGAATTCGTTTGGACCCAGATAAAGTCAAGGCCATCTAAGAGCTATCACCTCCCAAGAATCTTAAGGAGCTTCGAGGTTTACAAGGACGATTGGCGTATATTCGCAGGTTCATCTCTAACCTGTCCGGGAAATGCCAACCCTTCTCGAAATTAATGAAGAAAGGAGTATCCTTTATGTGGGACGAGGCTTGCCAGAAAGCGTTTGAGGAGATTAAGCAATATCTCTCAAATCCGCTGATATTGGTCGCACCAAAGTCAAGTAAACATTTCTTGATATACATTCGAGCTACAGATCATGCATTAGCAGGACTCTTGGCACAAGATGATGAAAATGGTCATGAACAAGCCATCTACGGCTACAGATCATGCATTAGCAGGACTCTTGGCACAAGATGATGAAAATGGTCATGAACAAGCCATCTACTATCTGAGTAGGACACTATCGGGTGCTGAACCCCGTTATCCTCTCATTGAGAAGGAATGTTTGGCGCTAGTTTTCACAGTTCAGAAAATGCGACATTACTTGGTTGGGCAAACCATACATGTCATTTCTCAGGTCAATCCTATTTGGGTATTCATGACACAGTCCAGTGCATTGAACTGGCGACTCGCCAGGTGGGCTTTGTTGCTTTCCCAATACGACATCCACTTCAAACCTCAAAAAACAGTGAAAGGTCAGGCTATTTGTGACCTTATGGCTAATCATCCACTAAAAGAAAAGGCCGAGTTGTAGCAGAACATACATGATGAGACATATCAAGCAAACGTCATCTCTAGAGGGCACGTATGGTAATTGTACTTCGATGGTGCAGCAAGGACAAGTGCTACTGGTCGGGTTATAGCTGGAGTGGGGGTTGTCTCTATCTCTTCCCAAAACCACATACTCCCACGCGCCGTTTCTTTAACAGAACCATGTTCTAACAATGTGGCAGAATATAATGCTCTATTAGTTGGCTTAGATATAGCCAAACAATTAGGGGTGAAACACTTAGAAGCATATGATGATTCTCAACTCATTGTTAATCAAATGAAGGGAGAGTATGAGGTTAGGAACGAACACCTCGTTCCTTACCATATCGCAGCAATCACACTGGCCGATTCTTTTGAAGGCTTCTACATCGACCATATACCCCGTCTCAGGAATACCTATGCTGATGTATTAGCGTCACTTGCGGCTACCCTAGCTCTACCTGAAGGAACTACCCAGCAGGTCGCAGTGACAAGCAGATAATTATTCAAATCAAAGTATGCACTATAGATTAATGCATTTAAAGCGGAGCCTTCAACACTCGAACCTAAAGATTGACGATTTTCGATCATTGATTATGTCTTATACGGCTTATTACCTAAAGACATCAAAGAAAGAGAATCTATTCATAGACGAGCACCTAGATTCTATTATGATTCTCAATCTTAGACTTTGTATCGGAAGTCGTACGATGGACTTTTGCTTCACTGTTTATCAAATAGAGAAGCAAAAGAAGTCCTTAAAGAGGCTCATGGTGGTATTTGCGAAGCTCATCAACCCGGTCCTAAGTTGTAGACCCGATTACGCAGATTGGGTTATTATTGGCCTAGCATGGTACAAGATGCTATCGCTTATGCCAAACGATACCACGCCTGTCAAATACATGCTAATTACATGCATCAACCACCTGAACATTTTCATCCTTCAACCACTTCATGGCCCTTCGAAACGTGGGGAATGGACATTATTGGCCCAGTAACACCACCCTCTTCCAAAGGACATCGCTTCATTTTGGCGATAACCGATTACTTTTCTAAATGGGCAGAAGCAATCCCGTTGAGAGAGGTTAAAACGAGTGATGTTGTTAAAATTTTAAAACATCACGTCGTATATAGGTACGGTGTTCCGAGACGTATCATTCATGACAATGGGCCCCAATTCGTTAGTCAAGCCTTCACCCGATTTTGTGGTAAGTTCAAGATCAAGAATTTAGCTTCAACGGCTTATAATCCTGCTGCTAACGGGCAAGCAGAAGCATTTAACAAGACCATCGTCAGAATTCTCACTAAAGTGGTTTCGACGAACAAAAGAGATTGAAATGAGAAATTGGGTCAGAGTCTGTGGGCTTATTGCACAACAGTTCGAATGCCGACATGAGCGACACCATATTCCTTGATATACGGATGTGAAGCCGTATTACCATTAAAGATCCAAATTCCTTCTTTACGGATAGCACTCACAATTGGTATGACGATGAAGAGAGTCATCGCCGACGTCTTGAAGAATTAGAAGCATTTGATGAAAATCGGTTATTGGCTCAACAATATATTGAGTTTTATCAAGTTCGGATTTCCAGAGCATTTGATAAGATGGTTAAATACCGCACGTTTAAGGAAGGCGACTTAGTTCTTACAACTCGGCGCCCGATGATTTTGAATTCCAAGAAGAAAGGAAAGTTTGAGCCAAAGTGGGAAGAGCCTTTTGTAGTAGAAACTGTCTACTCGAATGGAGCCTATCGTCTTATCACCAAAGATAGCGACAAACTTATGATGCCTGTCAACGGTAAATTTCTGAAGAAATATTACTCGTAGACTTCATCTTCAAATGTACTTTGCTGCGAGAGAAGAAGCAAATAAAGGTAATGATTTCTTTATTTCATCTCCTCCAAATTTCCCTCACTAATCCTCTTTAATAGGATAGTGAGACTATTATTGTGTTAATTCTACCCCTGATTGCTAGTAATTTTCCCAACGTCGTCATTTTCAAATGACGTTCGTTTTCCTAACTTAGGCCTACCAAGTGATGTGCCTTCGTTTCCAACATCGTCATACTTCTAAAGTCACTGAACGGTGTAATTTTTCTAACATCGTCATTTTCCCAAATGACGTTCGTTTTCCTAAGTTAGGCCTACCAAGTGATGTGCCTTCGTTTTCAACATCGTCATACTTCTAAAGTCACTCAACGATGTAATTTTCCTAACGTCATTTTTCCAAATGACGTTCGTTTTCCTAACTTAGGCCTACCAAGTGATGTGCCTTCGTTTCCAACATCGTCATACTTCTAAAGTCACTGAACGATGTAATTTTCCTAACGTCATTTTCCCAAATGACGTTCGTTTTCCTAACTTAGGCCTACCAAGTGATGTGCCTTCGTTTCCAATATTGTCATACTTCTAAAGTCACTGAACGATGTAATTTTTCTAACGTCGTCATTTTCCCAAATGACGTTTGTTTTCCCGACGAGTCTGCCATGTGTTGAACTTCGTCCTTAACTTAGTTATATTTTGAATCTCGATATCATACACTTGATTTGGGGTCTAAAAGAGACTAAGGATTGAAGAGAAATCTTAGTATTAAATTCTAAGAGAAACTCTTTGACAACTCATCATACTGAGGGGAAAAGTATGGCTAGTCCAACTCAAACGACAGTTGGTAAAGACCACTCAAGTCCGTTGACAGCTGAGGGTTTGCTAAAAATCCTAAGTTAGAATGCCTCAATTATGCAAGAGAACAATATGTGGATAAAATATAAATTTTATTCATGTATAATTGAAGATACAGAAACTCAGAGTACATAGATTGAACTTAGAAGACTCGAACTACAATACGAGATTCAGTTACAAGTTCTTTCAGCTACAATACGAGGTTCGGTTACAAGTTCTTTCAGCTACACTACGAAGTTCAATAACAAGCTCCATGACCTCGAGATTGCACTACGAACCTTGTCCGCAGCAAACACGCTGTCTTATTGTTGAAGTTCCATCTTCCGTTCCTGGGCATGAAGTCTTCCCCATACCTAACTTTTAGCTTTGGTGCTTGTAGCACACGTTTACCTACTTGGGTAAACTGACTACTAATAGAAACACCAAAAGCTCTGAGCATAGGATCAGCACTTCTCCTATCTCCGCAGAACGTGAAGACGACACTAACATTGTTGCTGACTCCTAAAAGAAGCACTTCACTGAGCCTGTGAAGCTGCCACATAGACCGAAGTCTAGCAAAGGGACTGCATGCTTGGGGGTACATGGCAGGCTAAAACAGCAAGCATATTTGAATTTAAGATATCTCTTCGAGATTATATTTAAAAGTCCAACAAGTTGTCGAAACATGCCCTGATTTTGACTCTGGAACACTGAGAAACCCTCAAATGAGCAAGCTACTGCGAAGACAAGGAGATCAGAGATCGGGTCAGAAGAGTTACCTGAAATGACAAAGTCATCAACTTTGCCTACCTCACCGGCGACGATCATCAGAGTTTGGAGTCTAATAAGAAGCAAAGGTGGAAGTCTTAAAGTGGTTCGTTTTCTCTGAATCATTTTGGAAACAAGGCACAGAAGAGGAAGATGAATCCTCTCAAAAGGTGACCGCCTATTTATAGACAAAGTAGCCAACCAAGTGGCTGGGGTGTATTACACAAATCCCTAAGCACCGAATTGCCAAGAGGTGCTGAGAACGAAGCGACGCAATCAATTGCGTTCGTAATTAACGCCAACGAAGACGTGGCTCGAAGCGACGCATTAAGTGCTCAAAACTTAATGTTGACGAGATGAAACAACGGATTCTTGTGGATTAACAGTCTTGGAACTGTTGAAAGTTGCCACGTCGTTCAACGAGATTTATTCTCGTTCCTAAAAAATATAATAATGAAGGTCGTTGTTTCAAACTGAACTTAGATATTAGAACTTGATCAAGAGTGGGTTCGAACCTCGTCTTCAACGAAGGTCATCCTTCTATTCGAACTCAAGTGTTGAGAAAAGAATCTGAACCTCGTCTTCGATGAAGGTCATTCCTTTAATTATACTCAAGTGTTGAAACTTGATCAAATTTGGAATCCGAACCTCGTCTTCGACGAAGGTCATTCCTTTAATTATACTCAAGTGTTGAAACTTGATCAAATTTGGAATCCGAACCTCGTCCTTGACAAAGGTCGTTCCTTTAATTATACTCGAGTATTGAGATTTGATCAAAATTAGATCCGAACCTCGTCTTTGACGAAGGTCACTCTTTGAATTTTACTCAAATGTGGAGTACTCGATTGAAATCAGATTTGAACCTCGTCTCCCACGAAGGTCATTCCGATAATTGAGTTCAAACGCCAAGGATTAATTGAACGAGATTAGGACCTCGTTACGTCAAATGTGAATTAGAATTCGAATCCAATCTCATAGCAAAATAGCAAGGTCCGTACTTCAAATCATAAATCACAAAATAACAAAGTTCGTAAACTTTGGTATTAGATTACGAATGGAGATGCAAAGTAGAGTTAGTGAACTAAGACATCCGAAATTCTACTTATAAAAAAAATATATGAAGAAGAGTGTTACAAAAGTCCGATAAAGAAAATGGAGCTTAATGGATCCAGCAATCCGACGAATTTCGTCAGCGAGCTTAGCCATGGATTCCTAGTTTTCTGCCTCAACATCAGCCAAAGCATGTCTACGAAGCTCCTCATCGGAATAAGCGTTCATGTCATTTATAGCTTTATCTATCTGCTCCATTCGATCAATTTCAACTTGAAGCAAGGGTTGTTGCTGCATTTGTTTTGAAGCCAACGTCTGCTTCATATCCGTCACGCCCGCCAAGTCAGCTTCAGCCTCTGCCAATTGGACCTGAAGAGCCTTGATTTGAGCTTGAAGATGGTCGACCTTACGTTGCTTCTGAAGTTCAGCGTTTGCAACCTTCCTACCCTCTCGGGATAAATTCTCTTCGATCTCTTTGAACTCTTTAATCTGTTGCTTAGTCTCAATTAATTAATGGTTAAGTTCAAATAAGGAGTCATCCATTTGTCGCATAACTTGCATAGCTCGCTCCTCAGTCAAAGGGTAAAGAGATCGAGATCGACGATTTTCCCATTGGTTGAAAAGATCTTCAACATTGGTCAGGTGCAACCAATATGATAATACGGCAAGGTCCGAGGTTAAACTCTTCACCAAGTCCAAGATAAGCACCAGTACCTCTTTAACATCTGCAAAATTTCCTCCATGGTCCAAAATTTGAATGGAAGATTCTCTCAGGATGCTGAGAAAGTTCTCCGATATTTTTCATACAGCGAAAGTTCTCGTCAAAGACGGAGGAGAAGCATGTGTGTTATTAGAGGACACTATTGTATGAGTAGCAGTCGAAGAAACTCTAGCTGCTGTGAAGACTGGCGGCACATGGCATACGACAGGAGCGTCAGCAGTTGTAGCAACCATTGCAGTAGTGGTAGGAGCAGCAACGACTGCAGTACTTGATATGATGCAAGTCTTGGTCGTCACAATGGAA